AGGAACAGATGGTAATGAAAACATTTGCCACAAAACTAGAGTCGGATGTTGTGTACATTGGAGACTGGGATGTGGCGACCCTGGGAGGCACAGTGCTGGATTATAAGGATCTGACAACATCAACCTGGGAGACTCGTTCACGATGGAGTTAAAGTTTTGTTCAACATCACATAAATTCCTCAATGTTTTATTACTCAGGAAGTAAAACTGAGGAAGATATTGCATCATAGTCATTAAAAGTCTATAAACTACTTGACTAATAATTCACTGCATGTAAATTATGATAGGTTGTGTTGAGGACAGCAGCTAGTAACCATGGGAGGGGCCGTAGCTGGGATGACTGGCGGTGCCCTGGAAGGTCACGGTAGCATGGTATCCGCTACCGTCAGCCCAGTAATAAACCTTCTGGACGCGACCGTCTGGGAGGTGGACAAAGTATGAACCCTTCACGTTGCCACCGTTACCGCTCTCTTGTTGACCGAAGTTGGTGGATCCTGCGTTGATCCCGTAGTTGTAGTTGTAAGGGAGAGGAACCTGTGAACACATCAATGATGTATCACACTATATATTAATATTTATCATACTTATTTCGTCTTAAATATATACATCACTGAGATATGACATGATGATATGGCTAAAAGTAAATATTATCTAAGGACGCACATTGTAGCCGCCTGGGAGAGCCACACCCGCGGTCACCAACAGGCACAGCAACAACACCTGCAACATCACAAAACACTGAGTAAGACGGTTGATGTGATTGTTGCAATACTTTCCTTAAAATATAATGTCCATAAGATGGAATAATATTGATAATGTGACATGTTCAGATGTTTGATACAAAATCATATAATAGTTAAATTCACGGAACCTAGTCAGTTGTGTCCTGTCCAATGTTTAGCAATGTTCTATAACAACAGTGTTGACAACATAAATAGCCACACCCACACTCCCTCAGTTCAGTCTCAGAGGAACGCAAAAATAAATATAAATGCGATCTGTTGTAAAATTTTATAATTTCATAATTTTCAAAAATCGAGTTTGTAAAACAATTCATTGTAAATGTCAAGTGAGAGTTTTCACTAAATGGTGATATTTTAGATCTTCTTTTATAATTTTCTGAAAAAAAATGATGCTGTATATTATTTCAATAAATGAAAGTGAGCTTGGAATTATGTGACAATATTCCCACGGATGTGTAATGATGTCTTCCAGGAGTTTGGACCACTTGTATTATTTTTCAGTCAGTGAGAAGGGAAAACACCACAATACTCACAGAGGTGAACATGATTGGTAGTGGGGAGTTGGTGTGATAGCAGGCACTGGCTCTTCCCTGACCTCCAGGCTCGCTTTATACCTCCAGCCAGAACTTTCTGCCAACACACTTAACCAAGGCGGCGGCCCCCGTGGCCTTGCAAGCTGTGTCTCCCTTGGATGAACTCATGCTGTTTGTGATGCAACTAAGTGTAACATCTGAGACTCAATTCATACACAGTATGTCTCTTCCGCCATACAGTACATTATAGAATGGCAATCGTGGATGGTGATATACGGAGGAAGGTTATTGAATGGCCTTTTTTCCAGTATTGTTTTGTAACTGTGAGATGATAGATTTGAATAAGGTGAATCTAAGGTGCAAAAGTTAATTCATGTTTTTGTGAAGATTAGCTGGTTTAATTGGAAGAATCTCAGACACAAAAGCGACATGAAATCATTTACTGAGACAGTCAGGTGGTACGGATGGTGATACTGTAACCATGTTCCGAGAATGGACCCGGGTAGACTTTTCAAAGACACTCATGCCCACTGTGACTCTTGTGTTGATTTAGTGTAAGTGGTTATCACATGTTCACCCTCGTTCGAAATACGTGAATATCATGACTTCCTACAGTAATGCTTATTGACCTCTACAAACCCCGTAATTGTTAACTTATTGAACATTACTCAAATTTGTGGGAAATTTTGTATTAATCTTTACCTTCTGCTTGCATGATTCTGGTCTTATGTCTGTGTTTGTAACGCTGTCGTGTTAAATGTAAACATCAGGAATTCCTCAGAAAAATTAAGATAATTTACAAATGAGTTTTTAAAATATATACTTTTCCCCCAATTAAATATTTAATATCTCTCAACACTTCTACATCCCCACAAGGTACAACTTCATCTAGTGACCGAATTTGCATTATCTTGTCGTGTGGTGTGGGGTCTTAAAAGAATCAGTTTCAAATACTTGTGTTGGGTATAAAGATCCCATTTCCTAACCTCACATGAGGAGGTTGAACGTGTATCGTCTCTGAACACGCAAATTCACATTTTCAAGAGGCGTTAGGATGGTTCTTTACTAGAGTGAGGTATGAGCAACCTTTATACCCCAGTGTTCTTTCCCAACCTTTTCAACTCCCTTTAATTAGTATTCTAATGAGAAAAACATTTGAGCGCTTACTCTCATTAACTTCATCTCTTGCCCTTCAATAAACATGGACAGACACAATAAACGATTTTCGGCTGTTCCTGATGGATCATCGTCACCTAAAGGTCCAACCGCATTGACTTCCGTGCTTACGGGCAGTGTGTCGCAACGTTAAACAAGAACTGTCTGAGCAAATCAAAGTCTTGGACAGTACAGTAAATACGACTATGGAAAAAGTAGGAATAAACAAGCACAAAATAAATATGAGAACAAGCGATGTTAGGGCATAATATGAGGTTGGCAACTGGTAAGTATGCAAGTGTTTGTAGGAAAATTGGGGTGAAACATTCTAAGATTAAGTGAAGTAAGATGGACTGGTTCAAAATTTTTACTTCATATATTTGAGTGGTGAAAGGCATGAGGTAGGAGCTGGTAATGTTATGAACCAGAAGTTGAGCTGTAGTGTAAAAGGATATTGGGTAGTGTCAGGGAGAGTTCTCTTAGACAAGTTTAACGTTAAACCCATAGACTTGGTAACAATACAGGTTTATGTACCAACAAATGATAGCGAGGCTGAAGTCTTAGGATAAAATTATGAAGATTTAAAGAAAGTAAAAATACCTTAAAGTTTAATTAATGTCTGATTATAGTGATTTTTAATGCAAAAGCTGGGAAAGGGAAAGTTCCACTAGAAGTAGAACCACATGGGCTGGTTAATAGAAATGAGAGAAGAAAAAAATTAATTGACCTTTGTAAAGAAAACAAGATGACACTTGCAAATACATCGTTTGAACAACACCCCATAGGCATCATTATTCATGGATCTCATCCCAGGACAATATTATTACGAACCACGCCATCTATTGTGTCATGATCTAACTACCCAGCACTACCGAGCAACGCCATCTAGGGACGAAACCCGAGTATGACTAGTCTTAGTCGCCACTCCGGGTTTCCTTTCTCTATATCCTGGTTGTTGCGTCACCTTCTCCAACTCTTCCTCATCAGCTCCGGATCGAGGAGAGTTCAGTTCACTCTGGGAAGTGACCACACTTGGATTACCTATCCTGGAAACCTACGGCACAGTGACTACCTACCATCTTCTTCAATACTCAGCCCTACTCGACAGACACTTCAGCACAGCACTTGAGTATTGTAAACCTATATTGCCTCCCACCTCCACTTGCTTCAGATTGTTGTATGTTGTATAAATATGTATATACTGTTAAGTCAATGTTGCGTATGTTTAAGTTTAGTATGGTTAAGGGTAATTTATAATAAGCTGGATATTTTGTTAAGGAATTTATGGTACTTTATTATACACAACAAAAACTCTCATCCTTTGTCTACCCTTTTATAGTCCGATTGTCTTTGTTAGTTTAGTTTTTTTATTGTTGTTGCCTGTTGGGATCAGGGTAGACTTTTAACTATATTCTAAACCAGTTTCTAAATCCCCAACTCGTAACAATATAAATAAGATTGTCAAAAAAAAATATATTACATTTAATTTCTGCAAAGACTCAGAAATTCAGCGACCCGAACCAAGACCTATCCACGGGCAGGTTGTGAGACAAACCATATCCCAGTCATGGTTTAGTGAGGCAGTGAGGCTAAAACTTGAAGAAAAAAAAATGGAAAAAATCAAATGGGATTCAGGGAAGCTAATAATAATAAGGGCTGTGATAGAATGTGAATTTGAAACTGAAAACAGATTTTTAGTACCGCTGAAGGTGACTTTGACGAACAAGAACAAGAAAACTATTTTATATTAAAAAAACTAACCAAAAACATGCTGGAGTGGATAAAACAAAGGGAACTTTGGAGGAACGAGGTTATAAATAAGTGGACGACAAATGACAAAAGAAAAATTCTGATAAATGCATCAAAATATCAATCCCCTCACTTAATGTTTCTCCAGTAAATTACTTCCATCACATTCCAGATACTGCCAAGTGCTCAGGGAATTTTGTCTGCAACTGCACACAGCTTCATAGGTGTTGTATCAATTTTAACAGTAAGACATCTTTTGTAATCATTATTCCATCCTGTTGTTCAATATAAAGAAAAAATCACTTTAGTTTTTGTTGTTCTGTCACGGTCTTCTGTGTGGAACAAATGTTTTTATTATTCTTTCCAAATTGTAGTTACATTAACATATATACAGTATATTATTTGTAAAAGTTTCGATATAATTATTTTTGTTCATTCTCATTTTTCCCTCATTATTCTTTATTTCAGTTTCTTTCTTTTCTTCTGAACGTTTTTATTGTTTTCATTAAACGATGATCAAAGTTAGAAGATCGTTTCTTCTTGGGGTTTTTTTAATTCTATTTTTTAATTTGATGTTCTTGTAACTTAGCATCGTGACTGGCAGCTCTGAATCAACTAATTTATTGTGAAGTTCAGTTTTAGAGTAAAGTGAGATTGGTTTTACAGCTATTATTGAGAAAATTATTTTTTTTCGTTCTGGATTGTTCTACTTAAAATAATACTCATATTTTTAACTTATTATCACTGTTACCAACATAACTCTGTTTAGTTGGTTACTCCCATAATAGTTCTAAAAACGATAATTAATATAAGACTATAATTGTTTTTAGTTATTTATTGTATCATCCGTTTGACAAAGTTACAACATCAAGGAGGAACAGATGGTAATGAAAACATTTGCCACAAAACTAGAGTCGGATGTTGTGTACATTGGAGACTGGGATGTGGCGACCCTGGGAGGCACAGTGCTGGATTATAAGGATCTGACAACATCAACCTGGGAGACTCGTTCACGATGGAGTAAAAGTTTTGTTCAACATCACATAAACTCCTCAATGTTTTAATACTTAGGAAGTAAAACTGGGGAATATATTGCATCATAGTTATTTAAAGTCTATAAACTACTTGACTAATAATTTACTGCATGTAAATTATGATGGGTTGTATTGAGGACAGCAGCTAGTAACCATGGGAGGGGCCGTAGCTGGGATGACTGGCGGTGCCCTGGAAGGTCACGGTAGCATGGTATCCGCTACCGTCAGCCCAGTAATCAACCTTCTGGACGCGACCGTCTGGGAGGTGGACAAAGTATGAACCCTTCACGTTGCCACCGTTACCGCTCTCTTGTTGACCGAAGTTGGTGGATCCTGCGTTGATCCCGTAGTTGTAGTTGTAAGGGAGAGGAACCTGTGAACACATCAATGATGTATCACACTATATATTAATATTTATCATACTTATTTCGTCTTAAATATATACATCACTGAGATATGACATGATGATATGGCTAAAAGTAAATATTATCTAAGGACGCACATTGTAGCCGCCTGGGAGAGCCACACCCGCGGTCACCAACAGGCACAGCAACAACACCTGCAACATCACAAAACACTGAGTAAGACGGTTGATGTGATTGTTGCAATACTTTCCTTAAAATATAATGTCCATAAGATGGAATAATATTGATAATGTGACATGTTCAGATGTTTGATACAAAATCATATAATAGTTAAATTCACGGAACCTAGTCAGTTGTGTCCTGTCCAATGTTTAGCAATGTTCTATAACAACAGTGTTGACAACATAAATAGCCACACCCACACTCCCTCAGTTCAGTCTCAGAGGAACGCAAAAATAAATATAAATGCGATCTGTTGTAAAATTATATAATTTCATAATTTTCAAAAATCGAGTTTGTAAAACAATTCATTGTAAATGTCAAGTGAGAGTTTTCACTAAATGGTGATATTTTAGATCTTCTTTTATAATTTTCTGAAAAAAATAATGCTGTATATTATTTCAATAAATGAAAGTGAGCTTGGAACTATGTGACAATATTCCCACGGATGTGTAATGATGTCTTCCAGGAGTTTGGACCACTTATATTATTTTTCAGTTAGTGAGAAGGGAAAACACCACAATACTCACAGAGGTGAACATGATTGGTAGTGGGGAGTTGGGGTGATAGCAGGCACTGGCTCTTCCCTGACCTCCAGGCTCGCTTTATACCTCCAGCCAGAACTTTCTGCCAACACACTTAACCAAGGCGGCGGCCCCCGCGGCCTTGCAAGCGGTGTCTCCCTTGGATGAACTCATGCTGTTTGTGATGCAACTCAGTGTAACATCTGAGACTCAATTCATACACAGTATGTCTCTTCCGCCATACAGTACATTATAGAATGGCAATCGTGGATGGTGATATACGGAGGAAGGTTATTGAATGGCCTTTTTTCCAGTATTGTTTTGTAACTGTGAGATGATAGATTTGAATAAGGTGAATCTAAGGTGCAAAAGTTAATTAATGTTTTTGTGAAGATTAGCTGGTTTAATTGGAAGAATCTCAGACACAAAAGCGACATGAAATCATTTACTGAGACAGTCAGGTGGTACGGATGGTGATACTGTAACCGTGTTCCGAAAATGGATCCGGGTAGACTTTTCAAAGACACTCCCGCCCACTGTGACTCTTGTGTTGATTTAGTGTAAGTGGTTATCACATGTTCACCCTCGTTCGAAATACGTGAATATCATGACTTCCTACAGTAATGCTTATTGACCTCTACAAACCCCGTAATTGTTAACTTATTGAACATTACTCAAATTTGTGGGAAATTTTGTATTAATCTTTACCTTCTGCTTGCATGATTCTGGTCTTATGTCTGTGTTTGTAACGCTGTCGTGTTAAATGTAAACATCAGGAATTCCTCAGAAAAATTAAGATAATTTACAAATGAGTTTTTAAAATATATACTTTTCCCCCAATTAAATATATAATATCTCTCAACACTTCTACATCCCCACAAGGTACAACTCCATCTAGTGACCGAGTTTGCATTATCTTGTGTGGTGCGGGGACTTGAACGAATCATTTTCAAATACTTGCGTTGGGTATAAAGTTCCCATTTCTTAACTTCACATGAGGAGGATGAACGTATATCGTCTCTGAACACGCAAATTCACATTTTCAAGAGGCGTTAGGATGGTTCTTTACTAGAGTGAGGTATGAGCAACCTTTATACCCCAGTGTTCTTTCCCAACCTTTTCTACTCCCTTTAATTAGTCTTCTAATGAGAAAAACATTTGAGCGCTTACTCTCATTAACTTCATCTCTTGCCCTTCAATAAACATGGACAAACACAATAAACGATTTTCGGCTGTTCCTGATGGATCATCGTCACCTAAAGGTCCAACCGCATTGACTTCCGTGCTTACGGGCAGTGTGTCGCAACGTTAAACAAGAACTGTCTGAGCAAAACAAAGTCTTGGACATTACAGTAAATACGACTATGGAAAGAGTAAGAATAAACAAGCACAAAATACATATGAGAACAAGCGATGTTAGGACATAATATGAGGTTGGCAACTGGTAAGTATGCAAGTGTTTGTAGGAAAACTGGAGTGGGACATTCTAAGATTAAGTGAAGTAAGATGGACTGGTTCAAAATTTTTACTTCATATATATGAGCGGTGAAAGGCATGAGGTAGGAGCTGGTAATGTTATGAACCAGAAGTTGACCTGTAGTGTAAAAGGATATTGGGTAGTGTCAGGGAGAGTTCTCTTAGACAAGTTTAACGCTAAACCCATAGACTTGGTAACAATACAGGTTTATGTACCAACAAATGATAGCAAGGCTGAAGTCTTAGGAAAAATTATGAAGATTTAAAGAAAGTAAAAACACCTTAAAGTTTAATTAATGTCTGATTATTGTGATTTTTAATGCAAAAGCTGGGAAAGGGAAAGTTCCACTAGAAGTAGAACCACATTGGCTGGTTAATAGAAATGAGAGAAGAGAAAAATTAATTGACCTTTGTAAAGAAAACAAGATGACACTTGCAAATACATCGTTTGAACAACACCGCATAGGCATCATTATTCATGGATCTCACCCCAGGACAATATTATTACGAACCACGCCATCTATTGTGTCATGATCTAACTACCCAGCACTACCGAGCAACGCCATCTAGGGACGAACCCGAGTATGACCAGTCTTAGTCGCCACTCCGGGTTTCCTTTCTCTATATCCTGGTTGTTGCGTCACCTTCTCCAACTCTTCCTCATCAGCTCCGGATCGAGGAGAGTTCAGTTCACTCTGGGAAGTGACCACACTTGGATTACCTATCCTGGAAACCTACGGCACAGTGACTACCTACCATCTTCTTCAATACTCAGCCCTACTCGTCAGACACTTCAGCACCGCACTTGAGTATTGTAAACCTATATTGCCTCTCACCTCCACTTGCTTCAGATTGTTGTATGTTGTATAAATATGTATATACTGTTAAGTCAATGCTGCGTATGTTTAAGTTTAGTATGGTTAAGGGTAATTTATAATAAGCTGGATATTTTGTTAAGGAATTTATTGTACTTTATTATACACAACAAAAACTCGCATCCTTTGTCTACCCTTTTATAGTCAGATTGTCTTTGTTTGTTTAGTTTTTTATTTTTGTTGCCTGTTGGGATCTGGGTAGACTTTTAACTATATTCTAAACCAGTTTCTAAATCCCCAACTCGTAACAATATATATAAGATTGTCCAAAAAAAAATATATTACATTTAATTTCTGAAAAGACTCAGAAATTCAGTGACCCGAACCAAGACCTATCCACGGGCAGGTTGTGAGACAAACCATATCCCAGTCATGGTTTAGTGAGGCAGTGAGGCTAAAACTTGAAGAAAAAATTAAAATAAAAAACTGGAAAAAATCAAAGGGGATTCAGGGAAGCTAATAATAATAAGGGCTGGGATAGAATGTGAATTTGAAACTGAAAACAGATTTTTAGCACCGCTGAAGGTGACTTTGATGAACAGGAACAAGAAAACTATTTTATATTAAAAAAACTAACCAAAAACATGCTGGAGTGGATAAAACAAAGGGAATTTTGGAGGAACGAGGTTATAAATAAGAGGACAACAAATGACAAAAGAAAAATTCTGATAAATGCATCAAAATATCAATCCCCTGAATTAATGTTCCTCCAGTAAATTACTTCCATCACATACCAGATACTGCCAGGTGCTCAGGGAATTTTGTCTGCAACTGCACACAGCTTCATAGGTGTTGTATCAATTTTAACAGCAAGACCTCTTTTGTAATCATTATTCCATCCTGTTGTTCAATATAAAAAAAAATCACTTTAGTTTTTCTTGTTCTGTCACTGTCTTCTGTGTGGAACAAATGTTTTTATTATTCTTTCCAAAGTGTAGTTACATTAACATATATACAGTATATTATTTGTAAAAGTTTCGATATAATTATTTTAGTTTTTCATTACTCTTATTTCAGTTTCTTTCTTTTCTTCTGAACGTTTTTATTGTTTTCATTAAACGATGATCAAAGTTAGAAGATCGTTTCTTCTTGGGTTTTTTTAATTCTATTGTTTAATTTGATGTTCTTGTAACTTAGCATCGTACTGAATCAACTAATTTATTGTGAGTTCAGAGAAAGTGAGATAGGTTTTACAGCTATTATTGAGAAAATGATTTTTTTTCGTTCTGGATTGTTCTACTTAAAATAATACTCATTTTTAACTTATTATCACTGTTACCAACATAACTCTAGTTGGTTACTCCCATAATAGTTCTAAAAACGATAATTAATATAAGACTATAATTGTTTTTAGTTATTTATTGTATCATCCGTTTGACAAAGTTACAACATCAAGGAGGAACAGATGGTAATGAAAACATTTGCCACAAAACTAGAGTCGGATGTTGTGTACATTGGAGACTGGGATGTGGCGACCCTGGGAGGCACAGTGCTGGATTATAAGGATCTGACAACATCAACCTGGGAGACTCGTTCACGATGGAGTTAAAGTTTTGTTCAACATCACATAAACTCCTCAATGTTTTATTACTCAGGAAGTAAAACTGGGGAACATATTGCATCATAGTTATTTAAAGTCTATAAACTACTTGACTAATAATTTACTGCATGTAAATTATGATGGGTTGTGTTGAGGACAGCAGCTAGTAACCATGGGAGGGGCCATAGCTGGGATGACTGGCGGTGCCCTGGAAGGTCACGGTAGCATGGTATCCGCTACCGTCAGCCCAGTAATCAACCTTCTGGACGCGACCGTCTGGGAGGTGGACAAAGTATGAACCCTTCACGTTGCCACCGTTACCGCTCTCTTGTTGACCGAAGTTGGTGGATCCTGCGTTGATCCCGTAGTTGTAGTTGTAAGGGAGAGGAACCTGTGAACACATCAATGATGTATCACACTATATATTAATATTTATCATACTTATTTCGTCTTAAATATATACATCACTGAGATATGACATGATGATATGGCTAAAAGTAAATATTATCTAAGGACGCACATTGTAGCCGCCTGGGAGAGCCACACCCGCGGTCACCAACAGGCACAGCAACAACACCTGCAACATCACAAAACACTGAGTAAGACGGTTGATGTGATTGTTGCAATACTTTCCTTAAAATGAAATGTCCAGAAGATGGAATAATATTGATAATGTGATATGTTCAGATGTTTGATATAAAATTATATAATAGTTAAATTCACGGCACCTAGTGAGTTGTGTCCTGTCCAATGTTTAGCAATGTTCTATAACAACAGTGTTGACAACATAAATGGCCACACCCACACTCCCTTTACAGTCGAGCTTTAGACCAACGTAAATTGAACTATAATTGATATCGGTAGAAAATTTTTATAATTGTAAAAACTCACGTTTGTGAAAATCGATGAATGTAAATGTCAAATTGTGATTTCAAATTTCTTCTTTTATAAATTTCCCAGAAAGTTATTTTTGTGTATCTTGTTTCAGTAAGTAAAAGTGAGGTTGTAATTATACGACAAAATTCCCCGGGATGTGTAATGATGTCTTCCAGGAGTTTGGACCACTTATAATATTATCAGCCAGTGAGAAGGGAAAACATCAAACTACTCACAGAGGTGAACATGATTGGTAGAGTGTTGTTGGGGTGGTAGCAGGCACTGGGTCTTCC